AATAGCGTAAAGAGCGTAAAATAACTAGGCGAAAGCTAACACTCAAATGAGACGATGTGATTGGTCAACACAAGTTACGCCGCAGTTACGCTTACGCAAGTTACGCCGCATGTAATCGCACCCTTACTTCACCGTATTGTAGATTGAGTCGACGTAAACAGCTTACGCCAAAAACGTTACTTCTACTCTTACTTCTTACTGCACGCTTACGCCGGTTATTGTAGACAACGCTTACAAGAAACCGCCATAAAAAGTTCGAAAATCCGAAATTCGCCAAAAACCCAAATTTTTAGCTATAAAAGTCCCATTAACTCCGAACGGTGAGAGTTAGGAAAAAAGTCCTGCGCCGTCATATAGACCGCGACGAGCCCTGCAACTTTCGAGGTAGAAACGTTCCCCGTATCTCGCTTTGCGGGGCGGAGCAACACATTGTTCTGCTAAATTCTTTGTTTTGAGCGAAAATGCGTCGATTGAATCTAATTTCATTCGATTTTGGCGGTGAGGGAGCTAAAGTGAATAATTGCTGCTTTATAAAACTGGCGCGAATTGACAAAAAATGGCGGACCACTTAGAGATTGCTTCCTTATGGCCAGACACTGATTGGAGGTTCTCTAGTTCAAGTAATCGGGTTTGCTATCACTCTTTTCTTTGCTCACACTCATTAGTCTGTCGATTCGATAACCAGCTGTTTTGCAAAAACAAAGTTGTAACATTTTGTTTTTATGTGTTAGCAATCGTCTGCCGCAATTCTTGTCGATTGGTAACGATAATTTTTAACGATTTCATTGAAAGCAAGTAAATGTATGTACGTATATTCGTGTTGTAGGGCAATCGGGGAAATAAAAAAGAAAGTAATAATTTCTGTCAACTCGGAACATATTGTGTGTATTATCTAATAGACTCTGTTTATTATACATTTAGCATCGTGGTAAAAATAATAAGCGAATACGAGGATCGAGAAGTCAGTGTTGTACTGTTGAACATAACGTAACCAATAAAGCATAATGTCCTGTCAGATTAAGAGAGTAGCGAGCATACCAGACCTGGATAATGTAAAGAAACTGCTCTATGGCGATATTATTAGCAAATGTGAGTTGTTGTTTATTCGACAAGTATAATATATATTCTGATTTGTCAGCACATTCCTTTCAGTGGAGAATGTACCGAGCGATGAATTGCCTCTTCAGGACTGTGTTATATCGCTATCGTCGGTCGGAGATGTACTCGCGATGGCTTGTAACACAAGGATGATTATATTTGTTTGTAGGTGCAAATCTTATATGTCATGTTTTTTCATCAATGTCGAGTAACAAGTACAAGATGTTACAAGACATTGTAGAATGATAAAGAGAAGAATTTCAGTGTGTTAAATGTTTGTCGACAGCGAGATGGGATTCGCAAGAAATAGACGAAGTGAAAAATAAGTTTCACGTAACGTGGCATGGAGAAGTGACGAGGGAAGCAAAGTACGTAATATATCGTCAAGCAGTCGTATAATGATATCGATTAGATTACAATGAGATCTATTTTCAGCGAATGGGTAACATCGGTGATTTGCTTACCTCTGATATCCCTGGGGAAGGCCGCCGGTCCAGATTGGACCTGTATAGCTGTTGGATATAATACTGGATTTGTTAGATTCTATACGGAAGTAAGGGAACATTATTCCATCTCGTCGACATCGATTGCACTCTTCTTTTCTCTTTCTTTGTCAGACCGGCGCGTTGCTGTTGGAAGAGGAAATCCATAACGAATCGGTCTTGGGAATTAAGTGTCAGTCGTTTTGCTTACCCAAACACGCTGGGGATGCTGGTTCTAATGAAGAAATTTATATTTTATACAACAGTGGTGTTTGTATATTACAAGGATTTCCGTTATTCTCAACTTTACGTGCCTGTAGAAATCATTTGGCTAGAGGTAATGTGGCTCGCTATTGCCACTTGAGATTGCAATTTTAATCGTTCCTTCCCTTTCGCATACAGTTCAGGCAAATTGCAACGATGTGCCACCGGTTACAAATTTGTCGTATAAAAAATGGACCTTTAAAAATCAAGATATTACAAACGATTTAGAAGTGATTGGTACAACGTCGATAAATAGCTTCGATCATTTGATGACAGCTTCGATATGCGGCGGATATACCGCGACGTACAGATCCAGTGCGCCGCAACACAATTTAGTCCTCGCGACGGGAAAACGACCGTTCGTAGGATTCCATTATGCATTGGAAGGTGGTAACGCGCCGGTTCTGTCGGACGTTGCCATCGCCATGGCGAGCAAACTGGCCAACGCTATTGGTACTGCCGTGCCGTAAGTGCCTTTCTGCAAGTGGCAATTTTGCCGTGAGTTAATTTATCGCGATCGATTGACTATTTTTGCCCTCCAGATGGTTTCGGTCAAGTTCCAAGAGTACAACGTCCGAAGCGTCCAAGAGTATCAGCCACGAATCCGTCGAGACAATGACATGTCGATTTGGTTTAAGTGACATTATGAGAGAAGGTGATTGCATCGTTTGTAGCCCGAACAAGATGTTTTCGGTAATATCGGACGCTATGGGCAGAGTGATTCTCGTAAATAATAAAAGAGGTATAGCTGTAAGGATGTGGAAGGGATATCGCGACGCTCAGTGCGGTTGGATCCAAGTTGCCGAGGAGAGAGATCGTGGAATACGTAAGAATGTTGATAAATCTGGACGTAAAACTGTCTTGCGCACCGCTCTGTTTTTGGTTATTTACGCGCCAAAGAAAGGTGTAATAGATATTTGGAGTATACAGCAAGGTCCGAAAATCACTACGTTCACCGCTAGCAAAAATGGGCGGTAAGTTCCTCCTCTATTCTCGTCTTGTGCTCCTCTCTCTCGTATAAAAAAAAAGGAAAGAAAAAAGATCCCTAATATACGCTGTTGCAGATTACTGTACATTAATTATGGTTTCCTGGGCGCGAACGACAGTGCCACTTTGTCGAAGAACAAAGCGCAATATTCCTGCGTATTTATCGATCCACTCGGAGGCTTGAAAGAGATTTATGTTCCATTTCATTTTGCGCTTAACAGCAAAAACGGTAAACGGGCACGCGACATACATCTGCTTAGAAAACTGAGAACGTTTCTGAGGGAAGAGGACTTTAACGAGGCGAAATTAGTTTCCGAAGTTGCTAATACCTGTCTGGGTTTGGAAACGAATCAAGTTCGAATACAGACGCTAGAGGTTTTAATCAACAGCAAGCATATTTTACCAGACGCTCTGCTCGCTGCGACCGATTGTTTTGTAGCGAAACGAGGTAATGTACACGTTCTACAAAATTTTACGACTGTTTTGTCACCTGTTTTCTATCATGCAGAAGAAGAAGAAGAAGAAGAAGAAATAGAATTGGATCCCACCGCCAAGATGCTTTGTCAGTTGACAGTGCAGTTGCGACGAATAATAACTTTTTATAAATATGTCAAGTCTCAACTTGATGTCGCACTCGAGCGCGATATTACAACGGTTGATGACGTAACGAGTGCTAAAAGTTTATCCTTGACATTATTTACTTCGGAACGAGAAGTAAACCGTGTTACCAAATTGGCCAAGATGTTGAACAACCTTCACAGAGGTGGTGAGGTTTCGGCAGAGACTAAAGTCAAATTTAAGGATGAAAATACGTTCTTTGACTTTTTGTCGTGCTTCGAATTGGGGACGTCGAGATTGATTGGACTACGAAAAGATGTAAAAGAGGAAAATCTTGACGAGATTTGTAAGTGATTGGCACGCCTTGTAAACCATACCATTGTCATAATTGTGTCGCATAAAATGTTTATTTAGTGTAACTTTTAGCACGATTGATATATCAAGGACGGATACATTCCGACGATACGATAGAGAAATGGCAGCAAGCGGCTAAAGACAGTAATATTGAACCGTTTATTTTCATGCGATTGGCATTAACATACTGGACGCGCAAGCAAGTTGCATTTTCGGTAATTGAATTGAAACGCTTTACGCAGCTGCTGCGTGTCATCTGTTTGTTAACTGGTAAGACTTTACTTCGAAATCACTTGAAAATGGCTAGTCGTTAATTCAATTTAATTAATTGAAATGTCACAGATGTGGAAGAGATATGCGTTGAATATAACGAGGTTTCTTTATGGTGGAGAAACGTACGCGCTATTCTCACAGAATCTACGAGACCTTTCAGCGCGTTCACCGCCGCGTTGGCGTGCAGGGCGACCGCTATGACCTTAGAGAGGTACAAGGAGAGATTGCAAAGTCAGAAATCTGCAAAATTGGGGAATAGTGAGGAGGGTGTAACTAAAACAGACGTATTGGAGAATAATAAACCGAACGATGTCACACCGGACGACGAAACGTACAGTTCGATTAGCGAGTGGGAAAATGTCAGCAATGATACCTGTCAATTCGCATTGTTGATCGGGAATCTTGAGGATATCGCTATCTTGAGTGCTGTTGTTAGGTGCGTATAGTAGGATGTGTTAAAAATATATATATATATATATATATATGTGTGAATTTTGCTACCTCTCTTGTAAAATAACAAACTCTAGTCGGCGAGTTGTACCAGATGAGACGACACAATTTTTTGCTCTGCCATTTGCGCGAAGCGACACTTGTTTGGCATCGATTCTCTCTAGAGGAAGAGGTGATTATTAAAATTTGCTCGTCTGGTATAGTCGACAACGTTCTGTATGCCCGCTCTCTTGTTCGAATCAGGTTCGGTGTCTGAATTGGTCGCAAAGTGGCTCGGCACAACGGGTATCGATCCAGGGCAGTTAATCGACACGAGCGACGTAGAATTCGATCAGTTGCAATTATCGGTGGATTCTGTACAATTGACCGCTGACGATACGCTGAGTGAAGCGACTCCTGTCCAAGTACCTCGACACGAGCGAACGAAGCTTCTTTCTTTATCGGTAGAAATCGGAAACGAAGCGAAAGTTGATACAACTGCGGAAGCGCGCATAATAGGCAAGTTGTTAAAGAAACAGAGTAATCCCGCCGAACGAATGTTGGGTCGTAATTAAAATCTCTATCTCTGCCGTTTCTTCTTCAGACGATATGACCCTGCTCAAACGCCACTTCCCATATAGTTTAACGAGCAGCGTTCTACTGGCCAATTTATGCTGGGAATTTGCCATGTCGTGGGATAAAGATGTCACCCAACTGGATTCGCTCGCAGCTGCCTTGGCCGTTTTACGGCAAATACCCATGAAACATACGAGACACGGTAGGTGTCATTGTTTCCCCCCCGACAAACTGTTGTAGCAGGCAATTAATATTTTCTGCTTATTCAACGTAGGCGTATGCTGTCTATTATGGACGCTTCATATAAAGAAAAGAATGGAAGCGGCTGCAAAGCTGATGAACAAACTCGGAAAGTTACCAAAGGAGAGATTATGTATGCAAGACATTGGTTTATCCGACATTCAAGTAACAACGTTTTTACAGCACTGCGTCACTTTCTTGGATATATTTGTCGACGTACGTAGACAAAAGAGAGATGGAGAGAAAATGACGTAAATTTTTAACCCAAGTATGACGAGTTGATTAATGCTACGCAGGCCGAGATACAGGAACGAGGAGATAGCGCGGTGATAAAATCGGAGGAATTGTGGGACGGTTACCTCGGTGGACCACAACCGTTTGCCGCACTAGCTATCTCCCAAACTCCAGCTTGGTACGATTTGATTTTGTTACACGTACAAGTGGCTAATGTACTGTACATGATGGCATGTCTGAATTTGAAAATGTTGAAACCATTAAATAACTTGTTCGAATCCGTGGTAAGTGATGCTTAATAAGAGACGATTAATTAAACACGTATAGAAGTAACATTTGTTTGTTACTCGCTGCAGGTGCAGCCCTATCTATTTCAAGACATAACGGACAGAGCGATGCTCACGTGGTATCGGGACGACAAGAGGGATAATATACGTACAGAATTTTTGTGTAGAATAATTACGGCATCAATGGAATTTATTCATCGAGAAACCACTGACGGCGTGACGGTTAGTTCGACACAGGCTATCTCGTGGATGAGCAAATGTCAAACGTTAGCGTCCATCTGGAAGATTAATAATGACGAATTGAGAATACACCAAGCCTGTCAGCTGTACATAAACGGTTTTGATCGTTTGGCAGAAGAGGTGGATATATGACAAATTCATTTATTACTTAACTTTTGTGTGCGTGTATGCTACGGACAAGCGTACATTTATACTCGCAACACAGACGCTTACAACTATGCTCTACTCTATTGTATTTACATTCGAAATGTACATATTGTTAGGTAACTATAGCGGTAACCGATATCGAACGCTTGGCTGCAAACTTATTACCTATAGCTGGAAGAAGAATGATGGCATACCTCTCGAAAACACCGAATCTTCTGGAAGAGATGTCACGAATGAGTCCAGCGCTTACAAGATACTTGGAAAGTCTGGTAAGTTTGTGCAATTATCGTTTTTTCTTTTATTGGATTTGCCTGACTATTCAATTTTTCCCAGAACGTGCCTGAGATAGTCTGTACAAATTGTTCGAACGCCGACACTGTGGAATTGATTCGACGAGTATCTGTACACTTACCTAAGATTCACTGTGATTACCATATCATGTTGTTAATGCTAGACGCAACATTTATTTACGATGATAACAATCAGCCATAGATTGTATAAACCATGTCCTGTGATATTATGGAAAGAGCTGGGGATTTCGTTGTATTAATATACAATTGTTTTCTATCGATATAAAGACCGTAATAATGCCAAGATAAGTTAGTGGTGATTAAGCTGCAAAATCGCAAAAAGAAATAACCAAATTGTTACGTGTTGTATTATTACGGACAATTTAATTGAGCACAATTACGATTACAGTGTACTTGTATGTATGTAATATCTGTATCTTACATTGGCATACTATTATATCACAGGACATTAATTAGCCTCGTTCGAAAGTATGTGCACATAATTATAATTTATCTTTACGTCCTTACGTTTTTACACATGAAAGAGAATCTATAAACATTCCACATTGTAATCGCGAATATAACATTTCTGCCTTATGAGAGTATAATCACCTTTTAAAAGTTCTCTTTTTATACACCTATATATAATTTATTAAAAATACAAACCAAACATTGTATCACAACCGAATCGTACGTAAACTGTCGAGGTAAATTAAGATACTGATGCATACATCGCACAATTGACTTTCGGATGTTATATGTCCTAATATTGGAGTTTAACGCAGCATTAAACATAAACGTTCAATTGTGCGCTATACTCTCAGAAACGAATCGCAAAACCTTGATATTGCTGCTTTGTAACAGTTTCCCAATTTGTAAACTCGCAACGATGTATCTCACTACCTGGACTGCCCACTGATGTTAACCACTGTGCCCTGGGGATTACACGTTACACAAATTACATCAAGTGTTTGACAAGACCGAAAATGTGTCAAACAGATATACTTTTGTATAGACGCGATTGGTCGATTTCAAGTTTAACAAGGCCACGCAAATGTGTTTGACGTGTTGCCAATTGCGTCGTCGACATCGTTATTCGACGTTACCAAACAACGACCAAGTATGCGAATTTGCCACTGATGCTTTACATGCCCAGAAATTATAATTAGCGACTAATCCGGATCGTTTTTTTTTCTTTTACATTCATCTTTTACATTTTTTTTTTTAGCGTACGATTAATGGAATATACATTTCTTCTTGCACACGCGCACCTAGAGGGAGGAGGGAAAGAGACTGTTACTTTAATGACAATCGTCTCAGCATTGAATTCTTTACTCCAATACCACTGTATATTTGACTAGTAACGTTAAACTATTTCAAATGCAAGTATCTGTGGAGTAATAATTTCGACGCGTCACCATTCATCTCTTATCGAAACTATACGTATACTTGTTATTCATAGAAAACTTGGAGATTTAAGTTCCAAGATTGACTTTTCTACTGAAATGATTGTTTGCGCGCTAGTAGGTAGACGCAATCGCCGACGAAGGAAAGAGACGATACGTCGCTGCGTCATTATTTCATCAAGTCGTTGTTAAAGTCAGTTTTCGACATAGCGCTTGTTACATGGCAATTGTTTGTCAAGGCCACGTACGATCGAGGATCTCGGTCGGTACACATAAGTAACGTATAATAATAAAAAGAAACGAAACGTTGACCATAGTTTCCATCTCCAGAGCTATAGGCGACATAAATTTCTTACAAAGACTTACATCTGATCAACGAGCGCTCGAGGTCCCTGCATCTTTCCTAGGATCGTGCCGGTTTTACTGTTTTTCACCCAACCGCAGATTTCCAATTGCAGGCATATATCCCTCACGTATTTTGGAAAATATACACCTGTTGAAAAAGACGAGATGCAACAAACCCTTGTAACCAAACGCAGATAGGCAGCTGTATTTGGGAAATTTGAAATGGAGAAAATGTTACATGCAGACGTACGCGTAAAGAAGTGAGAGAAATGCAGGTCTACGTGACAGTTTGAAATCGCGTCTGCAAGCAACAATTGGTGAGATGGTATAGGCGAACAATGTCCGATAGCACTCACCCTGCACCTTACCGAAAACCTCAAACTCGACAGACACGAAAGCTTCCTGACAGAGGGGATCATCCGCCGCCATCCTGCTTGAGATTCAACGAGACCCTTCCTAGGGACGAGATTTCGAGCAGATCGAAAGTAGATGGAATACAGAGTCCGGTGAGGACGCTCGTTCTCGTTCTCGTTCTAGAGATGCTTCACCTCTCGCCACGACTCACCTTGCTGGCTGATTCTTGTTGCGCGACGTTTACGTCGCGCCTAATAGTTCCCCAAATAGATTATACCCCACCACATTGACATTGATTCAAGCGCGATCGATCTAATCTTTTTTTTTTTAACTCTTTAGTCTAATCTAGTTTAGTCCACTCGACGCGAAGAGAAACTGTGAAATATTTACAATTCTTCACGAGTACAGAAGAAGCACGGCCGCACGTCGAATGGAGGGACGCTCGATCGATTCGCACAATAGTGATACAGAATGATTGCATGCAGTAGACGAGTAGACGAAAAAGTAAAGAAAAGAAAAGAAAGAGGAACAAACAATTAATTAATCTCTCAGCTCCCTCGTGACGAGGGAACGTTGTTGATTGTGGAAACGTTAAATGTAGGCCAGGGAGGAGGAAGGAGGAGCGAGCATTTATCGTCGAACTAAGCACTTCCCATCGTGACTACCGCCTATTGTCCCGTCATTATGTGCCCACACACACGACTAATTAGTTATTAGTACGCTATGACGTAGTAATTGCCGAGCGCAAGAGTCAAAACTACGGGGTGTACGGGATACGAGGGAAGTTAGATTCCGCTTATAACGATCCTGTTGAATCCAAGGTCTCGCCCGTTCTCCCTCGGAAAAACTGAATGCCTACTACAGTTGCATTGGAAAAAATGAGTAAGTGAATAGCAAATGCATATTTATTTCCCTACCCCACACATCTTCATCAAATAAATATGTAAATATCTTTCTATATATATATTTTTTTCTCTCATTACACACGCACACGTACCTATGCATACATGCGGTAAGCGCTATAAGCTGGCTATAGTCAACTATAGAAATTTTACGGATAAAACACTCGACGGCAGCGTCAATTTCTACTTGCAACTTGTCAACTTGGGTTATTTGAATGGCAAGAAAAGAATCACTCTCGTGTATCGTACATTACTCTTTTGCGTTGCAAAACTTGCAATAATGTTGGACGTATATAGAGTCACTAGAAATCGTCTTGTCGCAACGTTGTTGTTCACTTGGTATACATTCGTTCACAGCCATTCATCTTTCTCGCAACGGTATTCTTCTTTTGGCTCCGTGTATTATTATCGAAAATAATCCTCTTACACGGATGATCCATAGAGCCATGGATTAATCGGGCGAATCGCCGAGTTAGGCGAGTGGCGTACTTGATTTTCCATATATTAAGTATGTACTCCACTCAGCCCTTCCCTCCCTCCTCCAGACGTGTGATAGCGGCGATCTTTCAATCTTCCATCCTGGCTCGCGATCGTCAGCGACGGCTTGTTGCTAGCGCGCGAAAGAGAGACCTTTCGAAAGTTATCTGCTAACGAAAATTTAAGCACGACTACGGCAATCACCGCACTTGCACTAGTCCCTTAAAAAGATGACTTGTTCGTACACAGCACGTTGTGTAGGACAAAGATCGATCTATGCAAGAGAATCCGTATTCGCAGGAATAATGGTGGTATTATTCGGTAGGAAAGTCCCGTTTTCACCGTCCTTCTCGTTTACGTCGGTACGACCGACGAAATCTTGGGAGGCTACCAACAACTTGCGCTGTCGCGCTCGCTTTTTCTCGCGTTCGATCTAAATAAACGATAATCGTTAATACATCTCGTTTTCTCTCTGGCCATAGACATGGTACAAACCTTGAAGAATAATCGAAGATAGTGACACGGAAACACCACGCACTCCCCCCTCTCTTCCTCGGCATCGATGTAAACGCCACGAACTAGAATGGTGTTGCTACAATTGAGAAGAACGAGGAGAAGGAAGCAGCCAACGTGAGTGATCCAGCAGGACAATTCCGGATTGTCCGGCAGCAGCCAAAGATCCAGCGCGTTCCATATACCACGCCAGACGTTGACGGTTCCCAGAAAGCTCAGAAGAAGAAAAGCGTCCGCGACTATCAAGCGAACTAGACCCTGAAGGCGCGCGCAGATGTACCGCATCAATGGTTGTAGAGAAAACGTCACGGCGACTATAAAATAGCCGATAGCCTGAAATTCATACATTTGTACAGGATATATGAAATTTCAGATGTGACGACATGACGATGAAACGTAACGAATCACGGATAACGTGAATAACGTGAATAACGTGAATAACGTGAAACGCATCTCACACGCATACATCGACAATTGTGCCATGTGCCGCGGCAATCATGCAATTGGCGAATATTCAATTATATAATCCAACTACCGGGGCGTGTGTAGTGCCACAGCACATTGTGCCCTAGGCATTGTACATGGCCTATAATGCGCTTGTAATGTAAAACTTGCAAACGGACACGATGCAACACTGAAATGTTGAGAGAGATGTGAGAAATGTATTCGTACAGGAGGCCACTCGTCGTTACTCGATTTTCATCACGTGACTTGCCAGTTACATCGTTTATAGTGCGACGACGGTATGAAATGCCTGCGGATTATTTCGTATGATATCAGATAGTGCCTTGGAAAATTTTCCGCTTGCCAGATGCTTAAATTGCTCCATCATCCCCAAGATGCGAGATGCTTGTTATCTCGCACAAGTTTGTTGGATCAATCAAGACATAAAATGTCTTGGAATCACCGCGACCATTCTCACCATTATTCATCAGTCTCGTATCCCTTTTCGCGTTTATCCTTATCGTTATCATCGCTATTACTATTTCCGTCTTTTCTCGTTACACTCGTAACTTGGACTTTCGCTTCTATTACCATAAAGATACAACAAGGAGAGAAGCACATGATAAATGAATGGAATAATGTTATTGCAACGGGTAACGTGCGTGAGAGGTCTCTGAAATGAAGATAAGTGATGAAATGTGACATTTTCGTCTCTTTATTTGAAGAAACGGGCAGTATAATTGGAATAGATGTGTATACAATGGAAAAACGGTTCGAGTCAATGAGCAATCGAGAGGGGCTTATATTTACCAGCGAGCCAACGGCAGAATACTCGGGGCTTTCCGGAAACAGGTAAATGTCGATCAAGAGCCAGACTCCTCTCCAGACGAAGACGACCAACGTGCCGACGACACCGACGCTGAAGGCGCAATCCAATAAGTACAACGACCAGTCCCTCGTATTCTGTAACAATTTCACCAAGATCGTATGCGTAACATGGGCTTTCTTGCGACAAGAATAAGATATTTACGATCGCAATGGTAATTATTTGGACAATTATTCTGATGTGGCAGCAAATGGATAAAAAGACAATCGGTGATTCAAATGCGATTAGAACCGAGAAATAAATTGGCGCACTTGCACATGTTGCGCTAATGCGCACGTAGACTATACAGGCGCAATAGTGGTTGACGGTCGGGGGACTTGGCCGGAAACTGCGCTCATACACACCGATAACGCGAGCTTGGACGCGCGTGTAAATGAGCTACATGCGATGTAATCGCAATTTACAATTTAGTATTTACACGAGGTTTTACAGGCGGGATTGATTGTGAGCAGAGCGAGCGCAATGAACCGAAAAAGGACCCGCTAAATCTTTGGAATAACTTTGGACTTTCAACAGGCTGGCGAAGGAATCTCCTTTCTTGCGGACTGACTGAAATTGCTGTCCAACGAGCACTTTTTACTCGTCACTTTTCCAACTTTCGATTACACTCCCATCTTTCTATCTTCTAGTTATCGTGCCATCAAGTATAATAGCTCCCACGTGCACTATGAAACGACTCTTGAAATGCGATTTAATCGTTAATGGGTACATTGAGATAACTGGTAAATTTATTTCTCCGTTTCACCTGCCTTGCTGGCAGCATTCAGATGTCGTTGACGTGGCACGTTTTTGATAATTTTTCGAAATAAAACGCAACACCCTCGATCCTCTCATTCAACTAAAGAAATGTCCAATACGTTCGGAAAGTACCCAAGCAGATCTCCCGCAAGTTGGAAATATAAGGCATGTTTGCTACAAGTCCGAGAGAGCGAGAGAGAGAGAGAGAGAGAGAGCGGCTTCGATAAGAGAGATGGGTACTTACGTTGACGCGAAACATAGTCTGCACTTCAAAGTAACCCGGACACGAGTCGAGAACGAGCGAGAACGGCGGCGCGGATACGTTGCGGACCGCGCGCATGATGCCGAGCGCGAGGAGACTAACGACGGTCGTGGCAGAGACGGTACCGGGCGTCAGCTCCGTATAGATGTCCAGGGCCTTCCAGGCACCGCGCCAGGCGTTGACGCAACAGAAGCCGAACACGCCGGTGTAGAAGCGCGAGCCGAGATAGTACGAGAGCCGGTGCTTGTCCGGATGCAGAACGTCGTCCAGGCCGTGCTGCAGCACGCTGAAGGCAAAGAGGCCGGTGAAACCGATCGCGATCGACGCGAAGCTGCTAAACACCGGCTCGTCCGGGTAGACGTACAAGTCGCTCAGTTCCCAAGTGCCGCGCCAATAACCGACCACCGCCGGCGCGGCTACGAGCGCGGAGAATATCGTATCCAAGATGGTCAGGATGGCATAGTGCAGGTGATTCGACGATCTCGCGTCTAGGCTCCCAGTCATCCTGGCACCAGCCGCACGCAGCTCGACCATCCTTATCCAATCCGGATCGAACTTAGTAGTCGTCATTATCCATACTATGTGGATGACAGAAGGGAGAAGGGAAGAGGGAAGAAGAGAGAGGAAGACGCACGTCGTAGTCAACTTGAAGAATCGAGCGGCGACTTATCTGCCTCATCCTCGTCATCGTCGTCGCCGTCGTCGTGACATGGCCAACGAATCTTCTATCTGGCAAGGACGATGGCATACCTTCTCTCGTGGTACTTGATCAGTTTAGGCCAACTTTAGCCTTCTGAGAAAGCGTAAACTCGGTCAACGACGCCTTGCTCCAGCGATGGATTGACCCTGGCCATGAAACTTTTTCCTCCAATGTTATTTCCTCCAAATATATCACACAACCCGATCTTGGCACTCGTCGAGGACGATCGCTAGGATCGAAGAAAGAGAAAGGGAGGAAAAGAAAAAGAAAGATGTAAAAGAGTTGGCCGTCGCATCCACCTCATCCAGCAACCCTCCGATCATCCGAGCATCCGAGCAGGTCGGGCTGACTACTGACTTGTCTTTGGTACAACCGCTATCTTTTATCAACCGCTAACCGCCAAACGCGCGGACCAGCACTATCGCATTATAGCGAACGTCGTCGCTCGCGCGGCGGACCACCGGCACGGAGGATAGTACCCGCGGTATGCTCTCCTTTCCTCCCTCGTTCTCTCCTGCGTCGACGATCCCCACCTACAATACGTATGCGTTATAATCGCCTCGTTTCATCGTGTATCGCGGTGCTATCACCGATTAGAACGATCGGTGGCAGCCGATGATGACAGCTACGCGCGTTACCGCAATAATACACCATTTCAAAACGATTCGGTAGCTCCAACCACTTGTCTCTTTCATCTTCCGCTCGACTTTTAGGTATTCCTGTGTGTGTGTGCGTGAGAGTCGTTTCGAGCATATATATCTCAACAAACAACAATTGCTGTGTGCACAACCAAGTTATGGATCGGTGTGATAAGAACACAACACGCGACGATACGCAAAATTATTGTATTAAACTATATCAAAACTAGTAAAAAAAAGCCAAGTCGCGTGGCTAGAGAGATAATGAGATAAGGCTTGTCTTGTTTTACTCCAATAGAGAAGAATGATTCGACTACAATGGCATAATTTTTAGTTACCTTGACGTGATTTTTTTCTGGCCAATCTTTCCTGCCTCGCATTCATTTAGCCATTGACGTATATTCATTTAGCCATTGACGCTTTAGCCAAATTCATCGCTAATCGACTCCTTTTTGTGTGCCAATCAAGCTTGGGTTACAACATCTTCTCACCTTCGTCCCCTAATTCGTTTCAGCGAGCCTCGTCAAGGTCACAAAATCCAATGCCATGTCAAATACAATTAATTATTGGAGATTTTCCGTAGACATAAAAAATTTTTCTGCACACACATGTCGATTTTAACATCAAGTCCCTCAAATAGATTAACTCGGTACAATCACATAACTGGAGTCTGACTCATCGTGTGTCCAAATATGAAACAACGTTCTGCGAAGCAATAGATAATTTTTACAAATAATCCAGTTGGAAAATTATTATTCATCGACCGTATTTGTCGACTAAACTAAAAAATGCTCTATGAAAAGCTATATACTTTATATCGTCATCGGAAATTTCTCATTGGGAAAAAGCAGTTTAATTTTCGTTTAAAAGATAAAATCAGTACACGCGTAATGATCAAACACGGCGCGATCGATAATTCATGTCAAATGAGATAAAAAAAAAACGGATAACGCTTCTTTTGCGCTAGATAAGGAATGTTGGCTCACGTCCATATAATGCAATCGCAACGCTTGCGTATCGCTGTTATCAATGTACGATAATCGGTGAGAGCGTTTCATAAACTTCCGGGGAAAACCGACACAAACGAGATTTGCCATCTTTCTATTTGTATAATAGTCTATCGACTGTGTATTGCCTTTACCATCGAATTCTTACATTTTCAATTGCGTATACACGAACGCGTTTAGTAAAAGTATAATACATAATGCTGGAAAAACGATGCAACGATTGAGGATTGAATGAGAGGGAAATTGAGGAAAGGATCGAAAACGTAGGTAGGACTTGTTTGCGCGATTCGAAAACTTGTGCGTGATCATTAAGCCAACTATAATTTTATCAATCTAATACGATATCTACGTAACAATGATAAGGCTCGATCCGTTGAGATCTTGGTCGACTTGACTCACGCGATAACGTTGAAAAAGACTCTCTCATGTAGAAAACAACCTGCGGAAAACAAACGAGTAATCCTGCTGTCAAGTAGTTCGCGTCGTATGAAACGTATAGATAATAATCCTAACTGCTACACGATCGAGAAGACGCATGCTTTTAGAAATAGACTTTTCTATCTGTGTTGAATCGATGAAAATGACAAACTTTTACGTACAAGTACTGTGGGTACAAGAGTACTACCGCCGCTCTGTATACAATTGTTAAACATCATTTGACAATTGAGTACAGGGTCGGCGGCTCTTGAGGCGGTGATGAAAGAAGCGACTGAGACGTCATTGTCAATTATGCCTATCGTTGGAGAGAGAGTCAAGATAGAGATTTCAAATACCCGCTAGAAATTTGTACAGGAACTGATATACGAAAAATGGTGGTAGATTGGGCCGTAACGTCGCGCATCGCTCTCGCTCACCGTTGCTAGATCTGGTATACAACCCTGTATGTATTCGATGATGTTGCCAGCATGTCAGCAAAGATGTAACAAAATCTGCTCGCATAACAGCACACTCTGTTTATACATTATATGTAATAAAACTAGAGGTAGCAGTTGAACATGTTCCAACTTACCACGTTATATCTAGTAGGAAATTGGAAAACGAAAGTCGGCCTGTCGATCTGGATTATCAATGGGGTTGCTATCAAGTTTCGGACGGAACGTAGAATCGCCAGGCATGCCAGTAGCAAACATGTGAAAGATGTCGTTATCCTACAGGGTATACGGAGATGTACATAAATTGATCTCCTTTTCTACACCTAACGTAGGATCGTATTAAAATTACTCGTCGCTGTAACGTACCATAACGTGTGCATAAATAGGTAATTATCGATGATGATCCAGCCACCTCGCCAATGCGCGATGCACGCCACTCCAAAGGTGTAAGTATACAAGACTCGTAACACCCGATAAAGCAGTCGTTTTCCCAAACTTGACGTAGCCCACTTGTGCATGTAGCCGTTGTGAAATTGGTGTTTGAAAATGGTGTAGATTGCGTGCAAAGTTGCGCCGAGCGTGAAACAAGACCAGCTGGGAAACCTGTTGAGAAACACTAATTTCATCCTACTAATTAATTCGATAACTTGGAGAAAATTTACATACATACTGCATATTACTTTTGTTACTCACAAATCAGCATAACGATCCATGCATCCCCATATACCTCTCCAACAGCCGATCGTGAAAGGAGCCACGATACTCGTCGAGATCAATGTATCGAGTAAGGAGGCGGCTCGTTTCTTGCCTTTCGAGCCCTTTATCGGGTTAAATACTTGTGTTAAATACGTGAGTTATTAAAATTGTAAAATTTAAATTTGAAAGAAAGATGAGCAAAATTGCTGCAAAAATGTATACCATCACCTTTCTCTATAATATGAAATCAAGTACGTATAATTGTATACTGCAAAATAATGACCTTTAAGGAGTTTTGCGTTTCCTTATCGACAGTCGACAAGAATATTGTCTTCCCGGCCTCACACTTGCCCGTTTCTTCAAACAGCGGCACTTGGTTATCAGTTTGAACGTTTGGCCGCTGCTGCTGCGATATTATATTTTTCTCTTCGTCATCGGGCAACGGATGCGATTCTACACGATGGGACATCATTTGCCCTCTCTTAAATTCTTACGGGAGAAAATTTCGTAACAATTACATGCCGCGATTCGTAAGCTGATCGAAAGGTGACGAGAATCGATATGGTATACGTACGACACCAATTGGAAATGAGATGTAAACTACCGCGCTCGACTACACTTTACAAGCGAATACTGGCGGCTCCAACGTTAGAATTTAGAATGTACAATATACCTCTAATAAACCTTACAAGATACGAAAACACTCTTGTCCGCCATCGCGTCGAGTTGGTGTCTCGTGAGATCGTTAATGTGCATGCTAACAATTAGTCAACAATGTCGTCGCACCTGTTCGCGCATGCTTATATATTATCACCCAGGTGCTGTTTAAACGCGCGTTTGCGCACAACCGAATAAAAAGTATAATTCCGAAAAGGTATTGGAGGTAATCGGTAATAAAAGAAGAGAAGATGTAGAATCTCAAGTATACACGAGATAAGATTCAAATTAGGTAAACAGAGGTAAACAAACAAGATTGCCAAGCGAATTGTTACACATGGCAGTTTCTATTTCTAGAAACCCTGCCAATAATGTTTTATTCGCCGATACATTTTCACTAGCATCTCGCAGAAAAGCCAACTGTACAATCAAACTCGCTTATGGTTGTTATCGTTGTTTTGCAGACTCACTTCTCCAAAAGAAAAAAGTCACTTCTCTGCAATAACTACTTAAATAAAGCCAGTTTGAAAATGTATTTTATTGTAAACTTTACAAAGTAATCGATCACGCTCTATAAACGTTTTCCCACGGATCGAAGTAATGTAAAATTAAGATTTCACATGGTATCAAGCCTTATTTAAATTTCTAGGCCGTCTCATTCGTATAGTTTTTTCAAATCTGTTTTTGATTTTGCATCGATCGAAATTTCAAGGGGAAAATTTGTTCCTCTCTCTCTCTCTCTCTCTTGATACTGCTTAATATCTTAATACTGCTGCCCAAGTTTGACGAATCCTACAAAAACCTCTCGCGTACGATAAGACGTAAAATGAAAAGATTTACAACTCACGTACTGATAGTTGTTGTACGCAATTATTGCGTGCCACTTGCAATAAAATTGATAAGAATCGAGTTAGGTGTACATGTATATGATATATATATATATGCATATTTCTTGTCGAACTTGTCGATATTATCAACTACTTGTCCGTTTTACGTTAAAATTGTAACATTTAGGGGTATCCGTATATAGGAAAAAAAGACCGTGTCTCCTTTTTACGCCACAAACATGTCCTTTTCGATAACGTATCGCTCTTTGAGAGAAAACCAGTGTCACCAACTACCCATCAAGTTCTTGGATGCTAAGAAAAAGTTGCAATTACTTGGTATTGATATTTAGCACAAGAAATAAGAATAACGCGTATCAAGTGTATACATACTAGAAGTTTGCGTTATACTTAGCTAAAAATGCTCACGTCTCTCTGTTATATCGCTATGAATTAATCGCTATCCATCGCAGGGGATTCTTTAAGCAAATTTTCCCTTAGGTCAGATTCGTCTACGTAATTATACTTGGAATTCTTCTCTTCTGCAGATTTGACGCACTGAAATAGCAGACGGTAGTGAAAATCGAGTTTGCGTCTATATAATGAAAACATTTATATTTGCCAATAAAATGCGAGAGAAGAGAAGACAGTCTATTGTCAAGCAAAATATCGTCATAAATATATAGATACGTATGGAAACATAGCAAAGCACATAATAGCCGAATTGCGCGCACGCAAATAGCATGTAGAGAAATAAGCTATTCCTTACTTCTTCAATACGTATTCTAGGTGCCATTATTTGCTCGGGATAATGCCAAGGCTTATAATTAGGATTATTAAGTAATTTCCAGCTTGGATAGCCTACAGAGGCTTTATGCAATCTTTTTACCATCTACAAAGTATAGCTTTGTAAGCAAAGGTTTATCTGTTTGTCACTTGATATTGCTACTTAATATTCTATTGCAGAAGATATATATATATCTCACTTTAGGGGCAAATATTTGTGTAACTTTATTAACGAGCCACACAGGTAATTTGCCGTGTGGATCTGTATGCGACACGTAACCCAACTCGGAGCCATCTCCATTGCGCGAAGGCCTTACAATGTAACCTTAAATACGACAGTAGCTTTTTTACATAGAACACTCGACATTCACCGGCACTGAATATTTTACCTGTGAGGTAAGACGTTGCTCGTACAAAATGCTTCCTAGGTGGATAATCTTTGTGGTAAACGGAATGATTGAGTATCAACTGCTCTATACCAGTGTCTAACCAAGATCGTTGCAGGACAAAGTCTCGATTTTTCAACGGAGACGGGCATGCCACTAGAATGGATAAGAACGGTAAGATACGAGAGGTAAGATATAGAAAAAGTAAATACTCACTGGAATAATAGCCGATGTCGTTGTTTGGATTAAAAAAGCCTATGTCTTTCGATTCGATCATATGAGTGTCCCAAACTTTTCGATATTCAGGATCGTGTAAAACGTCGTAGAGTGTCTCTGGCGAGACATCGGGGAAACGCGTTCTAATCTACAATCTCTCAATCTGTTAAGCTCCAGTCTTGTCGAAAGGACAAACTTGATCTCTCCTTCTCATGAGAGAACTTACCTTTACCATTCTAAAGCTAATTCCTGGGACGGATTTTGTCCAAGCGGATAGATCAGGCTTGTTGTAATCCAACTTCCAATTGTTATTATCGTCATAGAGCTGCTTTAATTTCTCAAAGTCTTTATCTTCTGCAATTTTGACAAGGCCAATATCCATCGTAACAGAGTTCTCTACGGGAAGAGAAAAGAAAGGTAAATTTCTTTCACGAAATTCTTACTCTCACCTGGTACATTTTCTTATTTCGTACAATTCCTAATCTGCACAACCTCGGATACTTGTTGAAAGACCCTGCAATGAAAGAAATGAACTACGTCGGAAGCGCGAAAGAAAGGAAGAAGGTGCCGCGTACATGCATGCTTCTACTACAGTCGACGACTTTCCCGTTGGTGGCCCGGACCGAGTGTCCTGGAGTCCCTGGAGTGGACAATCAAGTCATATCACACTTTCAAGAGCTCGTTATCGCAGGTGATTAAGACTCGCATGTCCAACGAGCTAAACGTGTCCTCTACTCGCTGGAATGACACGAGAGATCTCGTATGTCTCGACAACCCGCACGGTAAGGTCTCCATTCATCTTTTCACCACTCTTTTCAAGGTCGTTGTTTACTCGATGACTGCGAAATCATCATTGGATGATCGATCAGATCGATCAGATCGATCAGATCGATGGCCAAAAGATCACCGAGAGATTCGTTGTAGATGCTCTCGCGACGCTCTTTCGAGCCGTACGGCACTATCGACACTATCGATAAGCCAAGTCTCGATACGAGCTGCGAGTGCTGCGACCTGTGATAACGAGGTTAAGGTGCACAAAACGATGAATATCATGTGTAATCGTGTCACGTCTCGTGTAAGTTTCAACGAGGTACCTTTTAAATCTAATGACTAAATGATATACCCTTCAGATCAGACCGTTTCTGCTTACGAGAGATGTGTCGGTGAGTTGCGCCAGGCGGAAAGATGATTTTCAACAGTTGATTCATCCAGAAGGTCGGGAACCCGGCATCCCACCTTACGTAGAACGCCAAGGAGAAAATGCAAGTCTCAAAAGAGCACGGTAAAAAAAGTCTATTCCAACGGTAGTTGATTACAATCGCCTAGTATTATTCTTATCATATAATCTTAGACTGACGTATCAATCTCGTAAACGTGGCATGTTGGAGAATGGTCTGCTTCTTAGCACCTTTGCAAGCAAGTACTTGAATACATTCGATGACAATCAGTTGAGGCTATACGATCGACTTATCAACTTACCATCCAATGATTGGGACATATTCTATTGGGCGACTGGTGTTAAACCGACTCCACCCGAATTTGACAATCAAGTGATGGACTTGTTGAAGAGGCATATTCAAAACGAAGATCGACAAGCCAGGATAACGCAGCCAGATTTATAAATAATATACATATGTTGAGAGAATCCTTGCTAGTGTATACTAAGCAGTAATAATCCAATGTAAAGGACGCTTTTAGCTTACATATTTAATTTCACAACCATTGTCAAATTGTTCCACCCAATAAAATGACTAAAACGCCATAGAGAATTTTGAACAATGCGTGTCCCAAGGTATGTACAAGGATCGCAATGCTGCAAGTAATTTATAACGGAAAAAGGAATTAGGCAATGTTCATGTATCTACTGGGATTTGCGAGATATTGCTTCGTTTGACTGAAACTCGCAAGTCCTACTTTTTTTACAGTTGCACCTTTCGATGAGCCTTTCGACCGACTTCTTCCCCTCGATGCGCTGTAAATGGGAAATAAAATGTAAAAATGTATAGCCCATGTAAAAATCTCTAGTTACATTACCTCGAGCCACCCCGTTTATACTTTTTATTAGCACTGTTGGATCTATTGGCAATCTTTCGTTTCTTGCCACGATTACTGCTACCACTGCTATTGGTGCAATCCCAACTGTCGTCGTCCTTCTCGTTACTCTGCTCTTCATCATTCTCATTTAATAATACTAAAAATAATGGAGTAATTAAAGCTATAATCATTACATACACGTGAGTTATCATATATACCTGTCTTTTCTGCCGCGTATTTCTGCGTAATGTTTAAAAGAGCTTTGCCATATTTAATAAAATTCGCCTTAGTGACATGTGGTATTTGTAACATGGCTTCCTCAGTTTCTGGTAAACGCTGGCTCATAGCTCTGACAGCTACCATATTCATAATAGAAGAAGCAGAAACATCCAATGCACCAGCGATTCCCCTTATTATTGTCATCAACTCGGCGTAGCAACGATCTTGCAATTCTTTTACAATGCCATCGAATTTCTTCGTAACTGTTGAAACTGTAGCCACACCGCTTGTAGATTTGTTCGATTGTCTCATTGGGATTTCTACCTATTCAGAATTAAATCAAACACGAGACTATTATCAATTTGCTCACTCGCAGAAGTAGCAACTCTATATATAGAGGTATATTAAGAATAAATACCTTTACATCTTTTCTTGTCATGAGTTGGCTCGCTTTTGGTCCAATATTTACGTATGCGCAAGCAAAATCATTACTGATATACATGTGTTCTTGTAAATATTCTTGCAACACCATATGGTGCAAAAGGCGTTCTATGTTACTTTTGTTCCACGATTTACCGCGACCATATAAAGGATGTGTCGTAAATCCTACAAAGAGATAAAGTTATATTTATTGATCAATTGTAGCATTGATATAAATGTCACTTCAATTTCAATCACCTGATTCTCTAATCTTCTTCAGGTCACTGCCCTTAAAAATATCCGTTAAAACTACTAGGGTAAGCCTGCAATTCTTTCGATTATTAATATCTCGTACAGCTTTCATAATCTCTTTTGCATCTTCAGTAACGTCCAACATTGTAATCTCATCCTAAAATGCGACCAATTAGCGATAATTTCAGAAGCAAAAAAGAAAACTACAATCTCACAATATACCTTGCATCTGCAATTATCACAGGCAGATGTTTTATTCGAGATACATTGCTGTTTATCAAATATCTCTCCAAAATAATTGAGCTGTAGCGATCTACGGCAATCGGTGCTATTTTCACAGAATGCTACCATTTTAAACAAATTATCCATGTGGGTACTGATGACTTGTGGACTTGGATTATCCCATTCTATCATTTTTCTGATTCTGTGCATGTCTGCATAATGATAAAATAAAATGCAATCTGCTATCTCACCATCACGACCGGCGCGACCACTTTCCTGATAATAGCCTTCTATAGACTTTGGTAAGGCTGCGTGTATGACAAAGCGCACGTTTGGTTTATCGATGCCCATCCCGAAGGCTATAGTCGCGCATATAACGTGCACCTGGCAAAAACATGTACACAATTTTACACTTGCTTCACAGCTGTGTTGTTTGTATATGCGCTTACATATTATATTACAATAAATATACTTCGTCAGAAATCCATTTCCCTTGACAGTTGCTTCGTTGATTATCTGTGAGTCCCGCGTGATAACTCAATGCTTTAATGCCGTTCTCCTTCATGTGCGCAGCATAATTGTCGCAATCGTTGCGCGACAAGCAATATACGATGCCGCAAGTGTTTTTGAATTTTGCCATTATCATGGCAATAACTTCGTCGGAACAATTCTTTCCCTTCTTCGATATTATGCTGTACCTCAAATTAGGTCTATTGAAGCTCGACATAAACCTTGAAACAATTGATTGTTTTTTTCTCACAAATCTGACACAAATCACAACACTGAAGCGAGAGTTTGTCGATAACGTACCACTTTGGAGCAGTCATACCCAATTGATGCAAGATATCCGTTCTAACACGTGGTGTAGCCGTTGCAGTTAGGGCCATTGTTGGCACTTTCGGATAATTATCCCTGAGACATTTTAATCTCTTGTAGTCTGGTCTGAAATCATGGCCCCACTGACTAACGCAGTGTGCCTCATCGATAACAAATCTCGCCAACAATTCTCTCTCGTACAAAGTAGTCAGAGCATTGCAAAATTTTTGCGAGGCGGAGATTTTCTCTGGTGTTACGTATAAAATTTTCAGAGCAAGTTCTTTCCTCGTGAGTTCCCTATATACCGCTGTTGCTTGAGTGTCTGTTATAGAGCTGGACAAATGAGCCGCAGGAATCTGCAAAACTTTATTAGCATGCATTCTATTTAATATCAGAGCACAATATTCTTACATCGAGTGAGGTGAGCTTTTGAACTTGGTCCAGAATGAGACTCTTCAACGGTGAGATAACAACTGTTAATCCAATAGATAAAAGGGCAGGTAATTGATAACAAAGGGACTTTCCACCTCCGGTCGGCATTAAGACGAAACAATCGAATCCCAAAAGTGTTGCGTTAATAGCTTGCAATTGATTCGGCCTAAAAGTATATAAACCGAATCTCTGCCGAAATATCTAAAATCAACAGGATTAATAAATACTCAAAATTTCTATTTTCGCGAGAGTCACATAAAGGTATTTTACCCACTTTCAACATTTCTTGCGAATATGGATATGTTAAGCCATCAAATTCTCCACTAACGCCATCATTTTTATAATTACCGGTAAACTTGCCATATTCTACGCCATCTTTTGCAAGATCATTCCTACTCTGTGCCATGCTGTCCTCTGGCCAATCTACAAAGGGGATCATACCGTCGGCATAAATGTATACATACGCGTATAAAGATATCGTACCTGTAAAATCGTCATTTATATCTATATTACAATTCGCCCCCAAAGCTGGAAATTGTTGCAACTCTTGCGTCAAGGTTTCCACTTTTGGCATAAATCTTTCACAGTTACCTATAATAAGAAAATCTTTTCTAAGCTTGAAGCAAGGAGAATATTACATTACAAATGACTTGTCATACTTTTATTTGTACTAATCTCGTCATCTGGACTGTTCGAGACATTTTTCTCGATACTCGGTGGCATTTCAATACTGTCGTTAGATGTATCCTTTACGAGAAGACAATCGGAATTTGTCGAATAATTAGACACTTGTTGGTCCTTTTCCCACATTTCTGCTATTGTTTTCGAAACTTGACTACCCAATACTGTTTTGATAGGTCTTTTCAATTGGAAAGTGCTCTTCTTGTTTGAAACTGTGGTTCCAAGTGGCTCAACTGCAGGTTCCACGCTATTCAAGTCTGCCGTTTTGGATGTACACGAGATGTTCAAACTATCATTGATCGAGTCATTGATCGAGTCATTGATCGAGTCATTTATCGAGACGCATGAAATGGGTGTTTCAATTGACTTGGACGATGCGGATCCAGGTGTCTCTGGAGAGAGACACATCTCATCCTCCTTTTGTAACTTTGATAACTTTGTTTGTACCAAACGTAATTTGGCTTTTATATGTCGACGCAGTCCTTGCAACTTTTTGAAAGAGGCTGCGTCAAATTTTGGAAATTGTTCCAGTACTGGTAATGGAATTAACTCGAGTGCATTGCAGAATTTGTCAAGAATTTCAGCTTCAAGTTGCTTCAAATCTTGACGTCTCTCGAGTAGCTCGTCTTTGGTAACCTAAATAAGAAAAAAAAAGAAAGATAGAGAGAGATAGAGTCATTCATAATGAGCAACTTACAGGTGGTATCGTAGACATTGCTGGTTTCTGTCGAATTGATTCAACCCACAAGCCTAATTGTTTGTTTAAACCTAAATCCTTGAGATTCAATCTAACATCAGGGCCAGTCCAACTTTTTCTCGGCGATTTTGAGCTATTGGTATCAGAATCTGAAACTAGAGTATTTTTCTCTTTATTGGATACACGTATAGTGTATTGTATAGTTAGGAGTAAACTACCTTGTGTACTTTTAGGCTGTATCGTGTCATTAAGCGTTCCTTGATTTTTTCCTAAAAGTGCTGCACCACCAGGAGGGAAATGACTATCAATTTGTGAAACAAGATCTCGTTTCTTGTCGGCCCCTTGCATTGCCAACTGAATCGAATATTGCTCGCTATCCTCGCTGTCAGAAGAGTCGGAGATGAGACGACTATTAATTCGCGATTTGAATTGATTCAAACATCGAGATTCATTTGTTTGCTCTCCTTCACTTTTAACACGATGCGACTCCATTGCGTGGCAAGGTGCATTTGGTGTTTTGCGCGGACGGAATTTCAGCGGACTCTCGCTCGAGTCTGAACTATCGGAATGATCAAGATTGATTATCGCGTCTATCGTGAGAGAGTCGGCAGCTATCCTCCTCTGTTTATTAAAAGACGATGAATTATTCAATAAATCATTATTTAAACGAGCTCCGTCTTTTGTCTCTTTTCTCACCGACTCGGGCACAGTCTGCGAAAGATCATTATCTGTTGACTTTGCCAAAAATCCAACTATCGTAGATTGGCCGCCACGACCAAGTGCCATCTTTCTCGACATGATTTCGACAAGTAGAGAACCAAGTCCAAGAGTAGATCTTTTAAACAATATAGGTATAGGTTAAGAGTGGCATGCCTTTTCTCGCGGTACAAGGTCTCGGACTTGAGAGTACTCACACACAGTCAATGAAAGGTATTTAAGCAACTTTTTCCAACTCGAAGCAAACGAAATGCATGAATTTCTCGCGGGGGAACGAATAATAGCAAATGTCTTTTTCGGGGTTGGGGCCGTTGGGGGAGCAAAACATGACACTAGCGCCACCAACGTTCATTTTAGCGATTTTAGCGCGTTGGTATCACCAGAGAGAACAAAGACCCTAGGCATTGTGGGTGAAGTGGATCGTCAAGAGATGGCTGCCTTACTTCCGTCCTGCGTCTACTCTGTGCTCACTGCTCCCAATGGTCGCAATGGTCGCAATGTATTGACAATTCAATAATTGTAATTGCTAACCATTACGTGAAATGACGTGAAATGACGTGAAATGACGTGAAATACACGCTCATGGAATCGATTGTATGGCACAAGGCACAAGCACAGTTCTACCTGTGTACGTAGATAAGCTACACTTTAAAGCGAAACACGTAATCATTATCGATATACGAATTTCGTAATTCTCTCCACTTGATTACCTCACTTATCCGCACATTATCACTCACACGTGTATACATATATGGATCTCCACTCGCCGTCATTTCAGTTGCCATCGGACATCCGTCGACAACATTAGTTGTGTTTTTACACTGCTCTTGTAACAAGTTTTGCTAGTAAATAACATTTTATTTCTCCATAGGCAGTCTTAATCCTAAATAGAATCTATTATTTCATTATGAATATATATGAGCAACATCTTGACATAACGATAGATGAGAGTGAGATTATTGTTGGTGCCAGAGATATTATTGAGAGGATTAGACCGTCCTGGCCTTTACAGCACCTGCGTTTCAAGGTAACGCGCGATGATTCAAAGTCTCGATATCACTCTTGAAAAAGTAGGTCATGTCGCTATTTACAGCCCTCCTTTATCAATCCGGACAAGAGTTATCTTTTGATAACTTTACCGCCACCTCTGCTCCTACTGCTCCTACTGCTCCTACGCAGTTTATCACATATTCACTCCACTTATTTCAGACCTTTACTGATGGAAGAACAAATAAATTGCTTGGAGTATGGTACTCGGGACATTACACAGATATGGTCCTCATTAGAATTTATGGCAACAATTCCAATTTACTGATCGACAGGCAAAGCGAAATAAATAACATTCGGGTAAACTCTCTTACAAAGAAAGGTGAAACTAGTCTAAACGTTTCAACGTTAAGGTAATAAAATACTTGTGTACAGATATTGAACAAGGCTGGCTATACTCATTGCATTTACGCTACATTTAACAACGGGTTTGCCTATCAATTCCTGCAAGGTGAAACTCTGACCACTGAAACAATCAGGGATCTCAAAGTATACCCGCTAATTGCCAAACGTATGGCTGAAATGCACGCTCTCGAGTTTGATAATGAATCTGTATCGAAAGAAGCCTTCATTTGGGAAAAGATTAAGAAATTTATGCAAATTATGCCGAAAAGATTTTCCGATTCCCTCAAGCAAGCAAAGTAAGCGAACTTGCCGACCAACCCAACTATCCAAGATACATCCAAATCTTTCCACTTTAAGGTTCGAAATGTTGATACCGTCGCATGTAATACTGGAGAAAGAATACCAGAGGTTGAAAAGTACACTTTCCTACGTCAACAGCCCTGTGGTCTTTGCTCACAATGACCTTCTACTTGGCAATATATTGTACGATCCGAAGCAGGAGAGTGTCGTTTTTATAGATTACGAATACACCGCGTTCAACTATCAAGCATTCGACATTGTTAATCACTTTGCAGAATTTGCCGGTAATAAACATTTCCAATCGCCTCCAAAGTATATCAAGTTGAATGAAATTTCAAATGCGTGTCGCATTCAAGGTTTCGACGAGCCGGATTATTCTTTGTATCCGGATGAAAATTTCCAGAAAAGCTGGTTAAGAGAATATTTGCAAGTGTACAATGCGACGGCTACGGTGTCCGAGAGAGAGATTGACAAGCTACACTGGCAAGTTACTCAATTTACTCCCTTGCCTCACTTTCTCTGGGCCTGTTGGGCTCTCATCCAGAGTGAGCATTCGCATATTGATTTCGATTTTCTCACGTAAGTACTTGTCGAGAAAGAAATCAAGTATTTACAATGAGTTACCAAGTCAATTTTCAGATATGCTTCAATACGTTTCAACCAGTATTTTAGATGGAAAGAAGAAATCTCTAAGCTAAAGGCAAAATGTGACGAATAAAACACTAGCATGTAAGAACAATTCATTCCTGTTGAGATATTTTCTCTTCTTAATCTATGTATATATTGTACATTCAAGTGGTATATACATAATGTATCGATAATTATCAAATATATTTTAAAATGTTTTATTGGTGCTAATGTGTATAAATTACCAACTGTAAGTAGAATAGAAATTGCAACTGTCCCTAAATCATGAGCACATGACGAGAAAATGGATTATTCCATTTCCGTATGCACTCGTGTGCAAAAACTAAACTACAGGTGCATTTTCACGTGTCGCTCGAACCGGCCGTTTCAGCGACAAAAAGGGTCACGTGATTACTTTTGTCGCAGAATTGTTACAGCAGCAACTATGGCACATGAAAAATAGCAAGAAGCAGCAAATCTGTGTTTAAAAGACAGTTCTAACCTTCAAGCGACAGGACCTCAAACGTGCAGTACCAATTAAGGTGCATATTATGAAACTGTTTGGAATGAATTTTCATCAGAATTATTCAATTATTTTCTATATTTCTATTGTGTTTTCTAGGAAAGACAGAATAATTCCGAGTTATGGCTTCAAAAAAATATTACAATTGGTTAGGCTGGGTCTACATTGGATGTCGTAAGTCGTGTCGGAAGAAATTGACCAATCACAGTTCATTATTCTTCGACCGTAAGGAGAATAATGAACTGTGATTGGTCAATTTCTTCCGACACGACTTACTACATCCTATGTAGACCCAGCCTTATTCTCCTTAGTCCCAGTCTACAATAGATGATTTAAGCCCTAAGCTCTAAGAAATTGACCAATCACGGTCAAGTATGAGTAGAATGCGCGACTGTGATTAGTCAATTTCTTAAGGCTTAGGGCTTAAATCTCTATTGTAGACTGGGACTTACGATCGAAGAATAATAAGGCTGGGTCTACATAGGATGTAGTAAGTCGTGTCGGAAGAAATTGACCAATCACAGTTCATTATTCTCCTTACGGTCGAAGAATAATGAACTGTGATTGGTCAATTTCTTCCGATACGACTTACTACATCCTATGTAGACCCAGCCTAAACTGTGATTGGTCAATTTCTTCCGACACGACTTACGACATCCAATGGCTGTGTTCTCCAGAAGTTAGCGCTTAATAAGCGCTTTATGCTGATTGGATAGATCTAGAAGAATAGCTCTATTTCAGCACAGATCTGAAAGTATAATCCAATGAACGCAAAGCGCTTAGCAAGCGCTAACTTCTGCTGGACACAGGCAATGTAGACCCAGCCTAAGTCCCAGTCTACAATAGATGATTTAAGCCCTAAGCTTAAGTCCCAGTCTACAATAGATGATTTAAGCCCTAAGCTTTAAGAAATTGGCCAATCACGGTCAAGTATGAGAAGAATGCGCGACTGTGATTGGTCAATTTCTTAAGGCTTAGGGCTTAAATCTCTATTGTAGACTGGGACTTAAGAAATTGGCCAATCACGGTCAAGTATGAGTAGAATGCGCGACTGTGATTAGTCAATTTCTTAAGACTTAGGGCTTAAATCTCTATTGTAGACTGGGACTTAAGCCCGTATCAGACCACTGGGATTGGGATTAGATTGAAATTTGACCAATCGGAGTAAAAGTTACTGAACTTGAGATTAGTAAACTTTACTGTGATTGGTTAAATTTCAATCTAATCCCAATCCCAATCCGTAGTGGGCTTTGGACTCGTATGAGGTTTTACTTGGATTTTCATCCGCAAGGTGCCGCGTATTGTCTAGGTAGAAGTAGCTACCCTGTATTGCGTCCACACTCGTAAACAGTACACATTTCATGTTACCACTCTTTCCCGATCTCTATGTAAAACCGTGCCCTATGTGGTCACCTAGTCGACTCTAGTTTGATGTAAACATCAAGTGACATTGTACACTTGACTGTAAGTCCCGTTCCATCCCGTTCGTCCATTGTTTCGACACAAGATTCTTGCATATTTCGGCTTCTCTCTCTTTCTCTATATATCTCATATCGATCGCCCACGAAACGTCTCCTCTTTGGGAAAACGTACCAACGTTGAACGGCTCGAACAAGACTCTTTATCCGATCGCAAGCAACGTCGTATCTTTGATGCTCCTTCATAGATAGACGATTTGATTCAACTTGGAGGGGGAGAGAGAGAGAGAGAAGAGCCGAATCTCGAGTCGAAACTGCACCTGCAATCAAGTGCGTAGTAGACGCTCTCGCGTAGCTTTGACCTCCGAGAAAGAAGAGAAGAACGTTGAAAGATGCACGTGACCTGCAAGTGCCTGAACGTGTCCATCAAGTCCAGGAGCGCCGAATTGCAACAGATTAACGTTGAGTTGACCGACTTGGAGCGCGCCGATGCCTTTTTCCGTGAGGTAAATGAAATCCTTCCTTGAAATTCACCATGTGAATACGATGAAATTTTCGAGGGGAAAGAAAAAGAAGAGATTCCCTGGCCCGGCTCCTGCTCCTCTCCTTCCTCGCCTCGCCTTTTTACATGGTGAGAGAATCTAGCAGATTACAGCTAGTCATGTCTGGACTATCGTTACAAAGTAATATCTGCAAAAGGAATGTAATTGAAGATATAAATCACTCCCTTGAATGTACTTGACAATGAATAATCTGTGGCAGAATCTGGCAAGTGTACCGGAATTGGAAACTATTACTAAACAACAGCCTGGTTTAATGGAAATAAGAAATGTTGGATCATGGATTATACACCGTTGCTACAATTGCTCCATGTATACTCATGCGGTTCACAGAGAGTACGGTGCTGCTTTAGTTCTTATCAACAACGATATTCTTGTAAGTTTCATGTGATGGAGGAAAGACTTGTATTAATATAAGACAGCGATTTGTTAGACCGCGCCTGTAATCGTCGCAAGAAACATTTTTCTTAATTACATGTTGGCAAGTTCTATACTTTGAAGCCTCTACATATTATGATATAAAAACCGTAAGGCGTATAGGCTCCAGCAAGCAGATCAAGTTTTCTCGTAGCATATTCCCTACAAAATTATATTTTTTAATTGTATTGAGATATTTCCGGCAATTAGAAAAAATGAACTCAATGTCTCATATTAGCAATATATCATTTCAGTTATCTCCCGAGGAAATAAATAAATTAAAATCCAATCCAGATTATAGTCCGGTGTTTAGGATAGTAATTAATCATAGTTTGGAAGATCTCGACGACTACCTGCAACAGCCTAACAAGTTTTCTGGTAAGTCGACGACTGTAGTAAGTGTAGAAATTTAAGGTATACTCAGTGATTGAATGGTTGATTGATGTGTATTATAGTTTCACAATTACCCAGTGCGGTTCAAGTGGCCCTAGATAGTTTACAGCGACAGCTCGAGGAAGCTGTACAACGTCAAACAATAGCAATAGAAGATAAAATACGTGCGTTTACTGCGGAGCAGTATCAACTGTTGGAACAATTTCGTGATAGAGCACACAACGAGCACAGGCTATTATCCAAGTATGATTTCACATTTTCACCATCACATATGTAATAGATAATAGATAATAATTGCAACTCGTTTTCTGCACATCTAGAATAGTATGTAGAGGAGAAGAGACGACCAGAGTAACCAATAACATAGAAACCCCACCAACGACACCTGATGGCCTTAAAGGCACCTTGACTACCTCTATTGCAGCTAAAACAGCTGATTCAGCTAATACAGCTGATACAGCTGATGCGGTGAATCTCAAGTCCAATGCAATATTCAATGATACAAAAGTGTCTAGCGGGCCAAACGTTAAACACGAGACAACCACCAGGCAATCTTCTAAACGTACCACTAATGTAAGTCACTTTCAACGTTGTTTTGTTACAATTTACAAATCTATCATAATAAACTTTATAGGATGAAAGTTCGAGAAAACTAGCTCCATTGTACATCTGTACTAAGAATCGCTCGACTTGCTTCGATACAGAAGAGTTGTTTCCCTTTGAAGGAATGGAGGATACAGATGCAGCCAGCCAACAGTATGTTGTATGGTCTTCGGAAGAGGGGTCTGATTCCGATGGTATAATAATTTACTTTTGCCACAGTAGCGTTACACTTTTGTTCCCAAGGTCTTCAAGTAAAGAATAATCTGTTCAGATCCCAGCCAAAATAAAGGGATGCAAATGCCAAGAGGTCAACGGGATGGTCATTCCTCATTAGCTAAATCATTACCCGTCACCGTACCCGTTTTCCCTTCTATCGTTCATCATGCGGCAAAGGATCAGGACGATGACCAAGTAATAAAACTCTCAATATTTCTCTGGTATATGTATACATGTGTACGTGCATATATAATGTATATAATATTTTCTTACAGTTGCCAACCGATCCGCTAGATCCGCACAAGATTCGAGCTTCGATCAAAGCCTTAGCTAAAAGCGTCCACGGTGATACGGTATTTGGAGATTTACCACCTCCCAGATTTTCTACTCTCATCTGATTTCGTTACTTGGTAATTTTTCGATATAGTGCGTATATCGTAGTCCTTATCATCCGTCATTTGTCTTTCATACAAAAGTTACAAGAGATTTATGTATACTTGGAATAAATATGGCCAATTTTGCAGACAAGTACGAGAGTACCCTGCGTATTTTATAGAAACTCGATATGGCTATTCAGATTTACTAGAGTAACTAATAGATAAGAAAAAACAACATTGTTAAGGTGGCTCCTGCACAAAAGGGGTCCCTTTCATTTTTCTACAAATTCATACAACTTTTTCATAAAAAGAAAACATTCCATGTTGACCTTACTATCAAGTATTTGCTTGCAGAGGTCATACATTTGAATCCTTGTGACATTTATTATGTTATACTCTCTTTTTCGAGAAAGTAACCCCTATCCCAGCCAAATTATTATGATGTTACCTGGTGCTTACTTGAACATTTTTTAACCGGGTCCGAAATTTCGCTACTTTTGGTCGGTTTGCGCAGGAGCCACCTTAATAGATAAAAGAGTGTGCATTAAATATGTATTTGTAATTTATCAATAACGTTGTTGATAATGACTTGATAAATACTTGAGTAATTTAATCGACATATTGTGAAAAAATTGTAATTTTTTACAAATACTTATATGCACACACTATATCTACATGTATACGTATAAATAAGTATACACATAGATAAAAACCAGTTTGAATGTATACTTGAGGTTTTGCGACAAGTTTAAATCGTATCGTTTATTTTACAGGATAAGGGGCGATCAACTGTCTGATAAATTTAGCTTTTGTACATCTAGTACGTAATTGTATGTTTAAAGTGACATAAAATTTTCCATTCAACATCTTTTGTCTTACAAAATCGTGTTATACTGTGGTTACAAGTTATTGGCTGCGTTCCTGCAAAGGTTTTATAGGTTTTTCAAACTCGGTATGATTTCCCGTTGTATTCCGGAGTAAATCGTACACATCTATGGAATTTTTCGATACTGTCAGTGGGCAAGGGTAGCTTTATTCTTTGCCGCGAGCTCCATTTGCGCAGTAGCCACAGTCTTCATACCATCCTGCACGGCCGAAAGATTAGCTTTCCACGATACGAGTAAATCTCGCAGTTGCATCCATTGGGGACGACCAAACGTTCTATGCATCGTGCTTGAAATTAATACTTTACGGCCAGCCTGATCCATGCGCGCTCTTACAAGTTTAGTCTTTAAAACTGGAACAATTGGAGCATAATATTATTACATCCCGCGAGAATATTGTTATAGGCGTGCATATTAAAGAGGAAATTGTCGAATGTCTCGATAACTCGGTGAAAATATAATTTTACCAAGTCAGTACGGATTCATTTGATATATCCTGTTAAAAGTCAGCCGCCACTTTGGAAGCAAGAGTGGAAGCTATGTTGTTGAAACAGGATGAAGCAAGTAAAATTGTACAAAATAAAAATAACTTGCCATCAATAATGAAGCTCTCTACTTCAGACTCGGCAATCTGTAATTCCTCTTGTATCGTATCGAAAGACATTTCTGGATTTGTCTCTGCAAGTTGCATAAAGGTGAGTAGCCTCATTTTCTTCATATTTTGTTCGTGGTTCAATCCTAGGGAAGAAACAAAGTGGCGCTTAAATTAGATATAAAGTTGGTATTCAACATTCTCTAAATTAGACGCTGGGCAAGTACCAAGTTGATGTTCAACAAATTCTCTGTGATGTTGATAGAAATGTAAATACGCTGGTAATTTATCTTGTACAAATACAAGAAGTAAATCGTGTATCAATTCGCCCTCCAAGAATCTCACAGGTTTCAACGCCAAAAGTGGGTCCAACAGAAAGGTATTTGGATCGGCTAATGCAGCTAATATACAGCGCTGTGCGTCTTCTCTAGCCGCGGAAGCGTTCTCTGCTGTGTAAGTTCCCAACAATTCGACCATGACAGCTGCCGCTTGCTCTCTAAAGAATTATCTCATCTATGATTATCGCGACATACGCGCGTGCAACAGAGAGAGAGAGAGAGAGAGATCAATTACCCTTGCTTGCAGCTCAAAAGAACTTCGTGTAACAAACGCAGCAACTTTTGCATCTGTTCATTCGACGGAGGAAAGGAAGCAAATTGTTGCTTCAGTTGATCTATTCCACTATACACGGCCTTTACTTGATCAACGTTGCGGGCTATTTGTACCAAATGATAATAAACGTGATATCTCATTGGAGAGTCATCGGCAAGAGATTGAAATAACAGCCATAAACTGCAAACGTTTATAATGTTAACATTTCTAAAAGTTTACGTGTTTAGTTGAAGAAAAAGAAATTGGATGCATTACGCCTTTAAGCAAACCAATCCGAGTTTGTATCCAGGCGCTTTGACAAGTTTCTCGCAAAATGCCAAAATTAAATTTTCAGCACGTTCCATAGGTATCTGAAATCAAGTATAAAGATAAGAGGGGACTATACGACTATGTGAGGAGAAAAGGATGAAATGTAGAAACTTGCCAGAATCATGATAGAGACGATGTCATTCAATACAGTTTCTATCTCAGTTTCGTTTCCTTCCTTGAAACATGCCTCGCATACCCCAATAATCTTGTGCAAATCATCCTCTATACCTTTAGGGGACTTTTCTTCGCTGATTTCAGCACCAAGATTTTTAAAATGCACTCTCAATTCCTGCGCCTAACGCAACACACAAGTATTTAACTTTTTTAACTTTGTACACATACTTTCGATATAACCTAAATTTCAACCAAGTCTCTTGTATTCACCACACCAAACTTATTTAATTGTACAAATTTACCTGGTCCTCTAACGGTAATTCCATGAAAATTGGCGGTACTTGCATCTTGACAAACGATTTAAACACGCTTCACCGTAATCAAGCTCGATTCGATCGATCAGCTCAACGTGGAGTCGTGGTCGTCGTGGAGAGAGGCCGTGGAGGCTAAGCGGAAGGAGAGACGAGCGCATGTGCGAATTGTGCGATTACTGCGATTGCGACGCCCCCACTCTGATCGATACGATTGGTTGGTACACTTGGATCCAATCAGAAACCAAATGCAGAAACCAATCATATTAGGATATGATATATATGCTTGTTTTTACAACATGAATGCGCTATTCGATTCCAGATTCCAGAGTTGTACTTTCGAATTGATTTCGTATGATAGAATGGCAGGAACCTTCAAAAGCCAAAAGGCTAAAGGTGCTATTACATGGAAGCATCGTGCGTCGTGCGTCAAGCGTCAAACGCGCGCGCAGCACCTTTGCGCAGATGTCTAAAGGTGCATTTTCATGCTGACGCTTGACGCTCACTTTGAGCGTCAAACTAGTGACTGGGGACTTTTTTGAATTATAGCGTCAAGTGGAAAAAGCTAAAAAGATTTTAGCTTTCCTTGGCGTTAACAGCGCCAATTGTGCAATCTAAAAATATTGGCGAAGGAGAGTTTGCTTATTTCAATTACACGCTAAATAGAGCGTCTTGGCACTCAAATCGAGCGTCAACTCGAAGTCAGCGTCAAGCGTCCACTTAACGCTACAATTCAAAAAAGTCCCCAAAGTA